CTGATGCACCATGACATATGTGAGTTGTATTAAATGTATACATTGCGTACGCTCAGGTTATTCATGTCAGCTTTTATTTTGAAAAGGTTGAGGTGATGCATGACTATGCTGCCAATGACACAGATGAACTGGAGATGAAGACTGGTGATGTGGTGCTAGTGATCACCTTTGAAAATCCTGATGAACAGGTATCAAACACACACAAACCCATGAACCGTTGTGTTACGATGCTACCGACGCGCTGAGAGGTCAACGTTTTTGTGTTCAGGATGACGGCTGGCTGATGGGAATCAAGCAGGATGACTGGCAGCAAAACAAGGAAAATGCCACTAAAGGAGTATTTCCTGAAAACTTCACCCAGAGGCTGTGAAAGGGAAGGACGCCCTTCCTTTTATTTTCACTTTTCCTGTTGCCTAAATCACCTTTTCCTCTCTTTTGCCCCCAATACTGTATCTTTACAAGGACTTTGGCCATAAAAGCAGAGCTGTCACAGCCCTGAATGAAATCATGCATTTCTAAGGTCTGCTACACTGTGGATCTTGGCATTTCTATGTATTTCTGTAAACATTTCTAATGAAAGATGTAGCCATTCCACAGGTCCCATTTGTTGCTGTTAGTTGTGGGTTTGGTCCAACAGGATGTGCAGTTACCTATGCAATGGCTACACCTCAGACCACCTTCAGACGGTGTATTTAAATCGTGTCTTGTCTTGACTAAAATAGGGTTTGTTGAACTGCTATTTATGGAATGGGATCAACGTAAAGATCCTAAAATGATGCCAAGTGTAGTAAAGTCTCTCAAATATACAGTTATAGTGAAATAAGTACAACTTCTTTTAGTCAAAAAAAGTTTTTAGTTTGCTCATTTCAGGACACATTTTGGCTGAGTTCAATTTAAAATAATAGCATGGAGTAATATGTGATGTGTTGTTGTTTATAAAGACTGTATTTACCTAATTTCAAGACCAATTAAGGAGCAAATTATTTTAAGTCCTGAAGTGTAAATTTAAGGAACTGAAAGAAAGTGTACTTAAATTTGAATCATCATTTTAAAGCCTATCTTTAGAATAGAAAATAAAACATTTTTAAACAAAGTAAAGCACTAAAAATGTATTAATATACCCTTGTCTACAACGTGATCTAAAACTGCAAAACAATACATTTTTGTCCTAAAAAGGTCCTCCASACTGATCAGCACAGCATTTTGTCTGATTAGTGTCGGAGCTCTTAGATTAGTGATTCCACTCCTCACACATTGCCTTCAGTACACATCCAGCCCATCCTCTGATCCTCCTTTTACCTGTTTACTTGTGGGAAAATGGGCCCTTTGTTATAGTTTTAGTGTAGATTAGGTGGTGGCACAACTATATGACCCTGTTAAAACCCAAATAGAAGCATGTGCCGTTAAATAGGCAGCAGAATGCAGCAAAATCAAAGTGACAGCAGGAATCAGTCTTGTTAAAAAAAATTGAATAAAATCTGTTTTCAAAGTCCATCGGAGTAAAATAAAAGTAATATTTTTTAAATTAATTGGAGTTATGTAAAGTTTGTTTTCCAAATGCCTCCAAATATGCATTATTCAGGCTTGCTATGAAGCTAGCCAGTGTCACTGAGAATCTGCTGCTGGTAGTATAGTAAACACTCCAATACTCAAATGTATRATAACTGAGCCAGCCACATTCACTAAAAAAAGAAAAGAAATGTTCCGAAAACAGTTCAACTCCAATGCAGATGTTTAACAATATGCACCAGAGCAACTTCTTTTATTTTTGTATGCTGCCGAGCAATGACTACATTATTATATAAACTCGATGTAACAATGTCGACGCAATTGCCAACTGACCGTGTTATGGAGTATTTTGTACTTCTGTAAAAGGTTTACTGCTCTCATCGTAGTCACAAAGATAGCCTAACACAAACCCAGTCGTTCATTCAGTCACTGACTTTGAAGAGATTCTTGTTCTGTTATTAATGTGTAATAAGCGTGAGAGAAACCATGTGTGTGTGTGTGTGTGTGTGTGCACTGACGAGTTGTTTTAGGAACACAAATCTTTATCTACAAGGCCATCGTTACTGGACGACATCCCCGCCTGCCTGAGGAGACGGCCGTCTGTTTCACAGGTTTTTCTGATGAAGCAACTCACACATACGAGGGTCTTTTTCCCACTGGCTGGTATTATGGTTCTAGGTGTTATAGTGCATTTGTTGTGTATAAGTGTAATTTTTCCAAGCTGTGATAACAGATACATATTCTATAAAGACATTCATATCTGTGTGTGAGTTACTGTGAGCATGCTGACTCCATGTGTTGTTGTGTGGATACCCTTGATTTAAGACGGTGATACTTGGGTCACTTTTGAGGCAGTTGCAAAAAGAAATTTTTATTTTTTATTACTTTTTTATGGCTACTTTTGGTAAAAGAGACAWTGTGGGCATTGTGTATTTTTTTCTTTTCTTTGTAACATTTTTTTAAAAATTTCTCTTGATTCTATCAGTTTTCCATCTGCCGTGCCTCAAAATGTTGCTAGGTATCGTGGTCCAAGCAGAGTTATTTAAAGGGAGGCATAGATAGAGAGAAAGTTAAAGCAGCCAGACTCAGGTGCACAGATTTTAATGGTTTTCAGTATTTTAGCCACTGCGGATGTGCATTCTTCTTATTTTTGTGTGTGTGTGTGTTTAAAAAGAAGTTATAAATGAAAATAAACACCTGTACATGTTGTTAAATCAGTCATATTTTTATTTAAGTTTTGTGTATATATCAGAGTGTTTTACCTGGGTCCAGTTCTATGTTCGGCTTTATGGATCGGTCTCTCATGGTGAGGTATGGGATATGACAAAAGGTTTTCTCCTGTACCTAAATGACCAATAATAATAAAGATGACATCAAATCTATTTATTTTTGTCYTTATTTTTCATACAAGATTTTGTATAAAAAACAAGAAAAACAAGTTATTGCTCTTTATTATTATTCATCAAAGACAAAAATGGATAACAATGTTTTTGCCCAAGCGTGTGTGTGTGTGTGTGTGTGTGTGTGTGTGTGTAAAATTGTTTCTGCTACAGAGTGAGGACCACTTGCAAAATAGGTATTTTCCCGGTCCTCACTGTTTTTGCAGCTCAACTGGGCTTTGTTAGGTTTAGAGGTATGGTGTGAAATATGTTTTGCTTCAGGTTAGAGTTAGCTATAGACCAGCAATGGTTAGTGTTAGGGAAAATGTCTGGGTTATGCATAAATGCAGTTACAAACATGAAACGAAGTCAATACAACGTCCTCAGTTTGATGCAAGTGTGTGTATGTGTGTGTTCTTATTTGTCTATATTAGCAAAATATCTAATTAATGAATATTTCAAAACGTTATCATTAGATGTGCGTCTATAACACATCCCCTTTTTAGAACAAGATGACAGTCACAGGTTATCAACCTTATCCGATACAAAAGTGCCTTGTGAAAGTATTCGGCCCCCGTGAACTTTTCAACCATTTGCCACATTTCAGACTTCAAACATAAATATTTAAAATWTTAATATTTTGTGAAGAATCAACAACAAGTGGGACACAATCGTGAAGTGGAACGAAATTTATTGGATATTTCAAACTTTTGTAACAAATAAAAAACTGAAAAGTGGGGCCTGCAATATTATTTGGCCCCTTTTTTCACATCCTTTCCTGTTCTCCTTTGACTCTTTCCTTCTGTTCCAACAGCTCCCTTCGGTCTGTGCAGAATAAAACTTTTTTTTTCATTTTATGTATTTGTCATAGCACAACCTCTATTTTGAAAAATGGGGATTTTGAAAAAAAAAWTATTTTTTTTACAGTGAGTATCAGTCACATGGAAGCAGTGCTTAAAAGCCTGAATTTTGCCTGAAACTCTCAGACTGAAGAAGTCTCTTGGAGGAGAGACGAAACGTTTCATTAGAGAAGAACCCGTCCAGAGGACCTATACAATTTTTTTTTCTTTTTAAATTTGTTACAGTGCAGCAAACTGACTCCAGTACCTACGGAGGTTCAGTGAGGATCTCTGAATGATCCAGTGTTGTCCTAAATGACTGATGATGATAAATAGAATCCACCTGTGTGTAATCAAGTCTCTGTATAAATGCACCCGCTCTGTGATAGTCTCACGGTTGTGTTTAAAGCACAGAGAGCATCATGAAGACCAAGGAACACACCAGGCAGGTCCGAGATACTGTGGAGAAGTTTAAAGTCTGATTTGGATGCAAAATGATTTCCCAAGCTTTAAACATCTCAAGGAGCTCTGTGCAAGTGATCATATTGAAATGGAAGGAGTATCAGACCAATGCATTTCTACCAAGACCCGGCCATCCCTCTAAACTCTCATCTGAAACAAAGAGAAGACTGATCAGAGATGCAGCCAAGAGGCCATTGATCACTCTGGATGAACTGCAGAGATCTACAGCTGATGTGGGAGAGTCTGTCCATAGGACAACCATCGGTCATATACTGCACAAATCTGGCCTTTATGGAAGAGTGGCAAGAAGAAAGCCATTTCTCAAAGATATCCAYAAAAAGTCTCTYTTAAATTTTGCCACAAGCCACCTGGGAGACACTAAAGGTGGAAGAAGCTGCTCTGGTCAGATAAAACCAAATTTGAACTTTTTGGCCACRATGCAAAATGATATATTTGGCGTAAAAGCAACACAGCTCATCACCCTGAAGACACCATCCCCACTGCCAAACATGGAGGTGGCAGCGTCATGGTTTGGGCCTGCTTTTCTTCAGCAGGGACAGGGAAGATGGTTAAAATTGATGGGAAGATGGATGGAGCCAAATACAGGACCATTCAGGAAGAAAACCTGTTGGAGTCTGGAAAACACCTGAGACTGAGATTAATCTTCCAACAAGACAATGATCCAAAACATAAAGCAGAATCTACAATGGAATGGTTCACAAATAAATATATCCAGGTGTTAGAATGGCCAAGTCAAAGTCCAGACCTGAATCCAATGGAGAATCTGTGGAAAGAGCTGCAAACTGCTGTTCACAAACACTCTCCATCCAACCTCACTGAGCTCCTGCTGTTCTACAAGGAAGAATGGGCAAGAATTTCAGTCTCTCCATGTGCAAAACTGATAGAGACCCCAAGCGACATGTAGGTGTAATCGCAGCCAAAGGTGGCGCTACAAAGTAATAACGCAAGGGGGCTCAATTTTTTCAGATTTTTATTTGTTAAAGAAGTTTAAAATATCCAATAAATTTCGTTCCACTTCATGATTGTGTCCCACGCATTGTTGAATCTTCACAAAAAAAATTATAAAATTTATATCTTTATTTTTGAAGCCTGAAAAGGTTGACAAGTTCAAAGGGGCCGAATACTTTTGCAAGGCACTGGAGCTATAATTAAGCCATGTTTACAGATATTAACCTAAAATGTGGTGTGGCTGTAGCTTAGAGTAATCCTCAACACATACCCCAAGGGCTGACAATCAATCAGGATCAGTATTGAGACAGCACACAACATAATTTGCAATGTTTGACCAAAATGGCTATACATGTCCCTTCTCATTTGAAAATCGTCCTCTGACATGTTGGCATCATTTATTGTGATTTCTCTTTAGAATCAATAAAGTATTTTTGAATTTTGAATTTGAATTTCAATCAAAGGTGGCGGCCAATACGCATTCTTTCAAGGAGTGGCATGTCGTTAATTTAATGCAAAGATAAACGTGCATTTAAAAGCATGTTTTAAGCTTTACTCTTAAATGTATTTATTCAAGAAAAATAAAGTTTTAAGAAATGTTAGTACTATAATTGGTTCAAGTGTTGGACTAACCAGCAGGGTGTGCTGTGTCTTGAGACTTATTCTCCATCCTGAAAACGAGGAAGGAAAAACAAAACAAAACACAGTGATCAAAAGTGAGAAAACAGGAACGCCTCACAGTGCTGCTGTCCGCGGTGCTGAAAGCAACCAGCAGACCACCCTGAAACCACAAGCTTTCATGCAATGCACCTAAATAAGATGACTGGTCCTGATAAGCTCAAATAGGAAAATAACACCTAAAACTGCTGAAAGGATGAACAGGGGTTTCTAAAACGGACTTTATTACATAAATACTTTCTTTATTAGTCAATATATGATTCATGAACTTTTTGCAAATTCATTTCTGTTACAAAACACACCAAGTTTTGTTAACAAACCAAAATCATGTTTGTCAAATACAAATGTTATTAACAGAGATGCATAAAATAAATTGCTATAATAATAATAAAAATAATAATAACAATAATATATATTTACAGCATTTTCTGAAAATAGATTTTTTAAATAGTTTCTCCGGCAGGAGCTATATACATATTTGACTTAAAAAAACAGAAAGAAGAATGCCCTGGAGTTACTTGATATATTGCATTATGTGAGTTTTCATTAAGCTATTTGAACAAAAGTCAACACCAGAAACATTTAGACAACATGTAAGTTATAGATTARGTCATTATATTTCCCTTTAAAGCATTAATTGAACTGCCTCAGATTTTCTTAGTGTTTGTGATTCTGTTTACGGCTTCCCTGTGGACCTCCATATTTCAAAACAAAGACATTGAAAAGCAGAGTTTTCAAATGAAATTTCTCTCCTAAAAATCCTAATTTCTTATGAGATCTGTAAAAGAAACTTAATACAGTAGTTGAATTCAGCCTGAGTCTTATTACTGACCTGAAAAAAAGACATCTTCAAACAAATGGAAAAAGTTCTTAAATAAAAATGTCAGAAAGATAGAGATTTATGAATCACCTCAAAATAATTGTTGTTTGGAAAAAAACAAGTCACTGTGTTCTTTAAAGCAGTTTGTATCAATAAAAAAGGTGTTTGCAGTAAAAATAATGTGTTCATTTTAATTCCCTGCCATTTATAAAATACAACGTAACACCAGTTTACTGCAGTAATTATTCCATAAGTAAATCTGTCATTTTTTCTAATAATGTAAATGTATAAATACCTATGTACACATAAATGATTTATATTTTGTTATAATCAGCCAATAATACTCTTTATTTTGGCATTTTTCTTTCCTCCCGGTGCTCCACTTCTATTTTTTGCTTCTCAAAATGTGCAATGTTGTTTTAATTCCTTCAAAAAGCCCAACATTAATGGCTTACAGTAAAATTACAACACAAGAATGTAAAAAAAAAACTCCACTTAACGTCTTCACAACATGTTTTTCTGGTTTTATAAGAGCTTTAGTTTTGAGTCTAACTTGTTTTTGATCCCTGGCAAATTCACTCACAGAGTTGTGCCACATTGTCTGCCTCTTCAGTCCTCTGACATAATTTTCTTCCTTTTTTTACACAATTTTACATAAAAAATAATGTAGTACAGCAAATACAGGCAAATAGAGCTAATACAAAATATATTTACACTTTTTAAACAGTTGTTCTTTGGTCAAGGCTGTGGGTGTGGAGGGTGCTGCAGCACCCCCTGATGGTCTCAGGAGGACATGCAAATACCTAGTTATTAAATGAATACAAAAATAATACAAACATATTTCATTAGTGCTTCAAATGTTTAAATTCTATTAAAATTTTGTTTAAACCAGCACCAATATTGTGTATCTCTAAAATTTTACAACCGCCTAAAACCCACAAACAGTGGGCAGAGCAGCATTAGGACATGATTGCAATTTTATAGACAATTTCTGTCAATAATCAACACCTATATTGTGTTTGTTTATTGCTCCAGAGATGTGCACTGCCAGTGTGCATTTCTTTTTTTTTTTTTTTGGGTTTTATATATGTATATATATATTTTTTATTTTTCATATGTGCGTTTAGAGTCATACAAATCCACTCATGCTCACAGCACACCTCAACTGAAACACGTTTCCAGGGTTTAGTCTCGGATCGTCTCCGGTTTGTTGTTTTCTGAATACAGTAGAGAGGCAGTTGTGCTCTTCTTTTATTGTGCTCCTGAAGACAGGCGACTGAAACAGCCTGAAATACGTCTCTGTGGATTCTGTTTACGTCATTGTTCGATGCCCCAGGGGTGGAAGTGTGCAGAGTCTAGCAGTACTTGCCCCAGTCTTTGCAGAATCCAGGGGTACCAGTGCAGTCCATTGTTTTGGGCCTGTAAAGGCCCTATCAGTTTGTAGAAGAGTCTTAGAGGGGCCAGGGCCCAGTGGGACAAATGGTGACTGTCCACGGCTGCGTAGCAAGATGCTAACACACCATTCACCACTATGGAGCCATGCTGAGTGAGAGGAGCATATAACCCAGAGCTTTTCTGCTCCTCCACAAAGGTCACCACTGAAAATCTGGAATTCCCGCTGCCTGTAGATGTAAACACACACTGTCCTGGACGGACTTCACTGGCGAAAACTGTCCTCAGACGTCCTGCACGACTGCTCTCCTGCCCCTCTTTTTCGCTCAGTCCACCATCACAGTCCGTGGCAAAGATCAGGTGAGCAGCCGTGAGGGTAACATTGACACCCGCTTCTGTCCCAATGATGTAGAAGGTCTTTGTGGTGTTGGGCTGGCGGTCCAGAAAGGACACGACCGGGCTGTAGAGGAGCGCAGGATGGCCGTCTGCTGTTGAGGAAGCCAAGACGCGGTCACCGGGGAGAAGGTCGCGCATGAGTTTGGTCCCACCGCCTTCAGTCGTCACCTCGGACTCACCAGGGAAACAACCGCCAGTTTTGGCTGCCACAGAGTGCTCTGTAGGAAGAAAAGCAGAATAAAACAAGATCTTTTTATTTCATTTGGCAAATTATTGTTTTACTGTATTATTTACTGTTGTTGCAGGAAGGACAAGAAAAAAAATGCAGCTGAAATGAAGCAAATGTATGTGGTCTGCTTTAGTACCTGCACGTTTTTCTAGGTCACTGAGTAACCCATGAAGCAGGTGAGACTTTGACACTGACTCAAGAACAACTTTATCTGGGAGGATCGCTGGTGGATTGTTAACATGAAATAATGTGACTCAGGCTGAAACTTACTCTGTGTGCTTACGGCTGTGATTAGAAGTCAAGTCCACAAAGAAACATTTTCTCAGGAAAACCATGGCAGCAAACAGAATTTTATCTTTGGTTGATTTATTTCACAACTATGTCCACCACACTGGCTTTAACACAATCGAAGACTGTGACTTGTTACTCATTCAAAAATACCATCACTGTTCAAAATGACTTGTAATATTTAGCCATTAAATGCAGAAGATCGTTGTTTGCCTGTTAGCTAAATATTTTGGGAACTGCTGGAAGAATTTTAGTTAAAACACGTGATCGATTCAAAAGTTGCCATTTGATTTAACTTTTAGAATCAACCCAATTCAAGATGACTCCCACAGCTAATTGACTTTAGCAACAAAAATATATGTATAATAGTCAGCCTGTTTTGCAAAAATTGTCCATCTAGCCAAGTTTTAAAATCTTATATCCAGCCAAAAAGTCTTTTTGATCTTGTTTTGAGACTGATTTACTAAACAAGAACTGATTGTTCAAGATGACTCCCACAGCTAATTGACTTTAGC